TGGGTATGATATTCTCTTTACTCCTAGTTGTAGAATTTCCACTCAGCCAGCCCTCCTGTGGTTCTGGATGGCGTCCGTTCCGTGTTTCAGGCGTAATTTGAATTGGTTGTTGGAAGCAGCAATCTCCGGCGTTAACCTATGCCGCCATCTTGGTTCTCCCTCTGTCATCAAGCCCTTCTGATCTTAACCTCATGTCCTACAGTCAATCCTGGGCCCCAGCTGCTGGGCGAGGAAGCTACTTGTGTTCAGCCCATGCACCTTTGTGTCCTGGTGGAGCTTACAGGGCACCAAGGTCTCAGGGACTTGACTGGACAGGAGAGTGGGAGCCCAGTGAGCCAGCAGGAACAATGGAAGATTTGCTTCTGAGTTCCTGGAAGACATGCTCATGGGGAAGGGAAGCCAGGCACCCAGAGCCCAGATGAGCCCACTAATCCACACCACAAAGGCTCAGTATACCAGTTCACCTTATTGAACCAAAGTCTACAGAACACAAGGTGGGGAGAAACATAAGGGCTAAAATATCATTGTGTCCACACCACCTCCTCCACTGATGGAGAGGCTGTGTCTCAGGGCCTGATTGGTAGATCTCCTTGACTTGCTGTGAGTATCTGCTTTCACTTTTCTTTCCTTTTCTTTTCTTTTTTTCTTTTCTTATTAACCACTGTTGTAAGAGCATTTGCAGTTTCATTGTAATTTCATTGGTCTCTCAGAGGATCCTGGCCCCAATGAGCATCATCAACTTGTCAAATGTTCCACCCACGTCGCTGTCATCACCACCCCTATCACCGCCCCCATCATCATCATCATCATCATCACCATCATCATCAAGAAGTCACTGCCTATAGTGGATAACATTGTAATAACTAGAATGGTGCCATATGTCTGCTAGACTTAGTGGGTGATCACTTTCTAATCACTAGATTGTACACCTAAAACTAATATAATATTGTATGTCAACTGTAATTGAAAAATAAAAAAAAATTATTTGAAGTCATTCCCAGGGGGTGGGGCCAGGGGTGGCCCACAGGAGGTCAATAGGGCATAAAGGATACTTATGTAATACTTTAAACAATAAATAATTTAAATTAAAAAATAAAGGACATACA